CAAACTGTACACTAGTTCCTATCTAATTCCTATTTAAATCAATGTAAAATTCTCTTGTTAATTTGAACTTGATTTGTCTCATCCTGTTTATTCATATCAAGAGTGTGTAGTAGTATTTCCACTTGAAATTTAAAGATCAAATTTAAAATTAATAAATTAATTTAAAAAAAATTAAATTTAAAAATATTTCAAACTGTTGCATAATTAGGATGATTTGCAGTTGCCCTGTGGCACTTGCTTGTCATGGCATCTTATGATGTTTTTCTTTATTAAAATCATTTCTTTTTTTTTATTCTGTAGCATCCAGAAATGGTTTTCTTTTAATTTGAACTGTTCAGGCTGTACCTCTGAGTTCAATTTAGTGAGTCTACTGTATTTCTTTTCAAATTTATACATTTTTAAAACTTTGTTCAAATAGAAACATTTTTAAATTAAAGATATAAATTGATAAGTATTGATTATAGAAACTTTCTAGCATAAAGTAGCTAAAAAGAACTTAACAATTAACATATCTTTAATTCTTTAAAATCTCCAAGGAGTTATTAATGGTTGTAGCTGCTTTTATTGCCTTATTTTTTACAAAATGGAAGATTTGGAGTGAATATATGATTAATAACAAATTTTAAAAGTATAATTTTGAATTTCAAATAAAATGCATTTAGATATTTACTGTAATAATATATACCAAATATCAACACAGAAACACTAAAATCCAGCAAAAACCCACTTTACTGAAATAAAACAAATGTTTTTAATATTTTTAAAATGTTATCATTAGGTTTAAATAGAATGGAACTCAATTATGACATGTTATGTTTCATTCACTCACATAATCTTTAATCAATAATAGTCAAAGCTGGAACTTCCACAGTATATAAGATACTAAACACACCTTACACACTTTACCAGCAATTGAATTTAATTAAAACAAATGTTTTCTACTTGATTGATAAGCCTTTGTCTGGTTTTTAAATGGAGATTCTATTTCTGGAATAGAATATTCTTTTCAATTACATAGAATCTCCATTTAAAAACCAGACAAAGGTTATCAATCAGGCAGAAAATGTTTGTTGTAATAAAATTCAATTGCTGGAAAAATATGTAAGGTGTGTTTAGTGTCTTTATATGCAATGATCTTTAATTTTCAATTTGCATGCTATCTTCTGTTTTGCCTTCTGTTTAAACTTGATGTTGACATTTTTAAAACATCAGAATGCTTGTTATAATATAAATTTTCGTCTACAAATACGTATTTTCTAATATCAGGACTTATTATGCTGGCTTTACAGATAATGCTACAGAGTTCACAGAAAATAATTTTTTGTCATATTTAATATATCAGAATGCTTGTTATAATATAAATTTTCGTCTACAAATACGTATTTTCTAATATCAGGATTTTTTATGCTGGCTTTACAGATAATGCTACAAAGTTTTACAGAAAACAATTTTTTATTTTATTCAATATACCTGGACACACACATAATTTTGCATTTCAGACACATTTGTCCTTCCTCAGCAGGTATTTTTGTATATTAATTTTCAGGTTTTCCTTTATATTTAACTCAACTGGATATTCAAATTTGACCAACAAAAACAGTATTATTCTTTCTGTTTCTGTTAAACTTTGTATCATTATCTGTAAAGCCAGTATAATAAGTCCTGATATTAGAAGATATGTACTTGTAAAAAAAAAATTATATTATAGTAAGTTAAGGACATTGAGGCATTTTAATTAATCAGAATGCTTGTTTTAGTTTATTAAAGTGAGTTTTTGCTGAATTTTAGTAGTTTCTGTATTGTTATTTTGTATTTTATCCAGTTCTAAGTTAAATTAATTATGTTTGGTATATACCAAAGCTTCACATAAATATATTACAGTAGAACCTCGATTATCCGGACTAATTGGGGATGAAGGTAGTCCGGATAAGGAAAAATCCGGATAATCGAAACAAATACTTTAATTTGTCTTTTAATGATAATATAACACGTTTTCTTTTCGATGACATATCGGTAATATTAAAACTAAATACTGTATTTAAATCGTGATCAAATTTTCAAGAAACAAANATCCAATCATTATACATTTCTTAGTGCTTGGCTCAAACTTTCCATCAATAAGTGCATTTGTCATATGGAAGTAGACAATAATCCAAACACACACAGTTTCTTAAGATTTGGCTGTTCATCATACCATAATTCTGCAGAACTTTATCTTTTAACATTTTTTTTGAGTCTAATTAAATATATTGCAGTTAAAACTGCTTCAATCTAAAAGGTTTTGTCTAATTTTGAATCAAATAGCATACTGCATCCTTTTTCAGTAGTAGTACTATTCATTTGTTCCACTACATTGTTTTGTTCAATGTGTGATGAATAGTAAATTAAACTTGATTCTTTTTTAAAAGAACCTTTATTCTTATTTGAGATGTATCCATGATCATTATCACATCTGAATCAACTTATTTTAAAATAAAAATGAGCAGTTGCAATTGATTCAGATAATGAAAAACTTCTGAATACTTTTGATTTTGATTTGAATGTATATGTAGCTGTGAAATGCATAATCATCAATGAATGTCTGTACATATTTCATATCATGTGATTCTGGAGTTACAGGCTCAAATAAATGACTCTGTATCACTGAAGAGGTTTTCACAATTGGGCTCTTTTCTGAACATGGGATAGCTTGATCTGTTTTCCTTCCACACATTGCTGACAGATCTTCATACTTTTCTTATTAACATTCAAGTTTATTCAACATACAATACCTTTAAGCTTTTGTAGACTAATGTTGTTTACTGAAGCAATCTTTTGTGCCATAGCTAACTGGCTTTTGCCAATTTAGTACAAATTTAATACAAATTTGTATAGTTTAAATTATGTAATAGTTATCAACAGTGTTGATTTCCATCCCCGGTGTTGATGTGTTGTTGATCTTCACGTTTATGTAATAGTCAGTTTGTACAACTTATGTTTTTGGTCAGCAACTGCAATAAACTTATTTCCTTTTATAATTGGACCTTTATCATTATAAGACATAACGGTACATAAGATAGTACCATTATATTTAGACACTGACAACTGAAAAATTATTGATGCAAGTGCTATCATGAATTTCACACTGTGCAATTGTCTGTTTCCTGTATTAATAAGGAAATTATGCACAGTAGCAACAGGTTCTTAAATATAGTAATTTACAATAAAATGTACAAATAATAAATAGCTATATGTACTAACTACAAATTACATTCATATCAGGGCTGAAATATAAACATGTGATTAAATACAGCCATACAAATAAGCAATAGAAACTAATAAGTTTAGGAGACTTAGTTGGTCTATTTCCACTTTTGGTACTTAAGCTGGGTTTCACTTCTCAGCAAATGTCACGAATATAGGATATAGAAGTATACTTATCAATGACTCGTTGTGGCAATGAATAAATATTCATTGCCACAATGACTCATTGATAAAGCTTTGCTTTCAGTTCAGGAGTGGTTAATCTGAGTAGAGTAGTGAAAAGATGACTTGTAACTCAAGCAAATTGTAAAGCTCAGGAATTTAAACTTTAGTTTATATCAAGATTTTATCCCTGCTGATTGGTGGATTGAAGTTTACTTATCTAAGGTATTTTTTGGTGCAATACTATCTTCTCCTCCAAATATGTCTGTTTTTGATATCTCATATCAGAGAATCTAGATTTAAGTTCATATTAGAATATAGATCTAATCAGATATAGGTAATATATTATATTTAGTATATTCCAAACAGTTATCAGCAATTTTCTGAACAATATATGACAATTCTCATCATTTCTTTTTAATATAATGTGCTCATTCCATTTTGTCAATTGTTGTTTTTGCTGAGTTTGCCTTTGCTATAATTTTTGATAATGGTTTTTGAAATTTCACAAATCCAGTTTATCTATGAGTTTCCATTCTAAATTTCCAATTAAAGTTGTTTCTATAAAATAAATTTCATCTCTTGTTGGTTGTCATAACAATGCTTTTACTATTAATTTTATATGTCAACTATGAGATAACCCAAGTAAGTTTTTCAGAAAAAATAAGCTTTTGGTATAAGTTTGGCTGAAGATACAATAGAACCAAATGATAGCTAGATTTACTATCAGCCTAGAAGTTGGTTGTTAGACTATCATTTGATTATTACTATAATTTGGACTCAGCTTTTCTAAACAAAGAATAAATATTATATATTTGAGTATTGCATACAGTCAGATGTCTGAGAATGACATCAGGGAACTCAATGACATAATAGCAGTCAACATATTAATTTAAGTAAACTTAATATAGTATGGTTGCTGTTTATTCAATTTATATGTATAGTATACTTTTAATCCAAAAAATTTTTCTTGGTAGACGATCTCACAGCTTTCTGGTCAGAAAATTACGGCTTTATTTCAAAAATTGAATTACAAATGCATTTCAGGATGTTAAGTTTCCAACCCCTCTTCAGTGCTGTTCAAAAAATAATAATATATATACAAATTGTAATTAAGGACACGACATTATTTAAATATCACATAAGAAGATTTCTACAATACAAACACTTACATATCATATAAGGGCACATATTAAAAATTCTATTTCTATATTTTTATCTTTATTTTCCATAGTGGATCATTATATATACCTATAACAAGAAAAATTTTTTTGGATTAAAAGTACACTATACATAGAAATTAAGTAAACTTATTTATCTCAATAGCTGTGACTGAGTGGAGAAAAAGAATAGCTTTAAGATGTTTATTGCAAATTTTAATATCTAAATATTTAATTTATAATTTTTTTTTATTTTATGTAATGAATAGTTGCTATTGTTAATAAATGCAATGTACCAGTTTTCATTGTAATCAGAATTATTCATGATTTTAAATTTAAAAGTAATTAAGATAAAATAAAATTAGCTTTAATCCTTTAAAAATTTTATAGTTGCTAAATTTTTTTTTCAAATTTGTATTTTATTTGTTTATTTAGAATATATTGTCTTATTCCAATCGTGCCAAATTATGCAAAAACCCCATTACAAAGAAATTACTTCAAATAATGGAAGAAAAACAGACAAATTTATGTTTGGCTGTTGATGTAACATCTTTCTCAGATTTACTTCATGTGAGTATTTTTAAATTTATAAATTTACTTAATTGAAAAGTATCAAATTTTTACCAGCCTAAAATAAAACCTGGCAAAAATTTTGATAGTTTTTCTCATTTGTATTTATTATTGGGCTGCAATTTTATTGAAAACTTAGATTTCTACTGTCATCTATCCTCCTTTGTTAATCTCAAAAACAAGTTAGGTCAAATTTGAAACCAGATGTGGAAAGCTTAGAGGTGGAGGTCCCAATTAACTGTATACAAACTGTCAGTCTGGACTGGAACTCTTTAAATTAAAATATGATTAAATTTTGCAGCCTGGCATTGTGATGATGTCACAATAATATATAACTAGTTAATTTATAACTTTATATATTACTTTATGCTACCAAATGTTTTTCTTTGTTAGTATGTCTAAACCAGGGGTTCCCAACCTTTTTGTGGCATGGGCACATTCAAGATTGCAAAAAATAGTGGCGGGTGCAAATTGGATTTAAAAAAAATTAAATATTATGTTCTTTATTATAACATGCATTTTGTAACATATATATTTATTATAAAAGTTGAATTAGTGCGATCTTTGACACTGCATTTCATTTGCTAATTTCTNATATATTACTTTATGCTACCAAATGTTTTTCTTTGTTAGTATGTCTAAACCAGGGGTTCCCAACCTTTTTGTGGCATGGGCATATTCAAGATTGCAAAAAATAGTGGCGGGTGCAAATTGGATTTAAAAAAAATTAAATATTATGTTCTTTATTATAACATGCATTTTGTAACATATATATTTATTATAAAAGTTGAATTAGTGCGATCTTTGACACTGCATTTCATTTGCTAATTTCTCACAGTTGGGAGTATAAAATGATAATCCCAATCATAAACAATCTTCAAGATTAGTAATTTGAGGTTTGATTTTTGATTTTATAATATTCATGGTGGATAATAAAGATTCATACAAGTATGTGGAACCAAAAGAGTTCTACATACTTGTACGAATCTTTATTATCCACCATGAATTTGAAGGCTCTTTTTTTCAAAAGATTATACATACTTCTTATGATCAACTAAATTTCAAAAGTTTTCATCTGTATCATGAGATTTTAATATAATGTCATTTTGAAAATCTAAAATCTCTTTTTCAATTATTGATGTTTCTTCTTGAAGTTCTACTATAGATTTAGCAGCTTCAGTAATGTCTACTTGTGTAGTAAAAGGATTTACAAAAAATGTATCCATGGGTTCAATAATGGTAAATTGCTGGAATTTATTTTCAAATTGTTCCAAAAGTTTTTAAGATGAGTAATAAATAATGTTAGGTCAGAATTATCTTCAGCAGTCACTTTTTTCATCAGTGTACAAGAGAATTTTTCGACATATTGTTTATCCAAAACTGTATTTTGGCTATGAATGCTTTTATAGAGCTAATCATTTCAGCTAAATGTTTGTTTTTTCCTTGGAGATCCAGGATGAAACTGTTAAATTTTTCATATATGTCAGTTAAAAAAGCCAAGCCAAGTCCATCAACCATTGTAGGTTATCTAATTGTTCAAACGTTTGACCTTTTCAAATAAGGAATTTTTTTTATCTCTTCCAAAAGATCAAAAAATTGGCCAAGTACTTTGCCTTTACTTAATCTTATATCTGTATATTAGATAAGGTCAGATTTGGAAGATTTGTCCTTTTCTACAAGGGCTGTAAACAATCTGTATGATAAAGGATTTGCTCAAATTTTGTTAATTATTTTAACAACAACATTCAAAACATGTTCAAAGGATAATATTTTGGCACATAATAATTTTTTATGTATGATGCATTGATAATACATAATGTTCAGAAAGGATTCATCTTTCTTACAATGGGAAATTAATCCATTATTGCTGGTGCACAATCAGTAATTATTGCTAATAACTTGTGTAAAGGCATATTAATTTCTTTTGAGTAATTTTTAAAAATATAAATATCTTCACCCCTTTTCGAAAGCTCTTGCATTGATAGTAACTTTAATAGTTCTTCTTTCACACTAAAATTACTGAATTAAAAAACCATTTTTTTAATTCAAACATTCTTATCATTTTTAATTTAAAACATTCTTATCATTACTGCAAATTGCACTGTATCTGATACAGGCCAGTCTTTATGCCCAGGGGCCTCCTAACATTTGAGACCTCAAAAATATGCAAAATTGAATAGAGCAACAAGTAATAAAATTATTATAAACAGCAAACAATCAAAAGGTATGTTTGATAAATTTTATTAAACATAAATATAACAATATGTTTAGCAGAGAAAGCTAATTGAAAAAATTTATGAACATTAACCCTCCATTACCAATTCCTTAAGGGAATTGGTAATGGAGGGTTAATGACCTCCAAGCTTTTCTTGGCCCAGGGCCTTGCACGTACCAAAGATGGGCCTGTTCTGATATATTTGTTGACTTATTTAATTGTAATGAGAAATACTCAAATTCTTCCAGGTCATTTTTCAACTGACTTTGTAAATCTGTTGAAATTGCCTGGATTCTTCTTGTACTTGTATTGTTTGATAACGGCAAATCTTGTATTGCTGAAATAATTTCTTGCTTATTAGAAAATCCTTTAAATAACGAATCGGCTCTGATGAGAAGTGCTTCCTTAATTAGTTTACTTTCTAAAAATGGTTTCTTTTTTTTTTGTTTTGCCAACAAATGAGAAATCTTAAAAGAAGCAATATTGGCATTTTTATTTTTACTTACTTGGCTGGTAAAAATGCTGTAGATAATCCCAATTTTAGTTGATTAAATATAACTAACCTTAAAAGAACTGTAATTGGTTTTGTGATGACATTCAGCATTGTGTTTTTTTCACTGGCACAGTACTGTTTTATATTAAGCAAATACATTTCTCTTTACTTTCAATAACAAAGTAGTTTTCTTTCCAATCATTGTTAAAATAGAGGTTCATTGTGTTTTACTTGGATTACTCGTTTTGGAGTAAAATGTTTATATTGAATATACCAAAAAAAAAAATATATCACGAGTTTCTTGTGGAGTGATGAATAAGATCCTTTTTTTTCTTTAAACTCTCATTATTATTTATTCAGATAATTATTGTTTTTAATGATCTGTTCAGAACTTCTAAACAAACTTTTTTCCATTTATTTTGATAAGAGGGTGATTTAAAAAATTTTCAAATTTTGATTGATGTTTTATTTTTAAAAACTATTATTTTTTGTTAGTTAATGTATGTGAAATGAAGAAACTAATATATTTTGTAAGAAACTTCAGTTGTTCTGAACAATTCATTATTGGATTTTGGAGCACTTGTCTAGTTTTATACAAATTTGCCTTCTAATTTACAATATTTTTTATCGTTGCTATTATTTAAAGATCCAGTTATCTCCACTTAAGTTATAGTTCTTCATTTATTGTAATATGTGCTTGGTTGTGTGTAGCGTGCTTTAGTTATTCCATCTTTATGTTCATTGTTTTTCCAGTCATCATAAATTATTGATTTGCATCACTTCACTCAATTGTTTATATACTAATCCTGTGTTAATAAAGTATCTGTCATTTTAACTGCCTCTTTATCTCTTCACTCGCTTCAAATAGAAATTATTGTGATTCTGTTGATTTGGGGACTACAGATTGTCACATGGAGTCATAGTTCCACTTAGAAAGTTTGCATTATTTGAATAATAAATTATATTTTAATGTGCTGATTTAAATATTACTTCACAAAATTTAATCATGGAAAAAAGCACTATGTCTTTTAAGTCTATTTTATCTCATGGAAACAGGAATGTAATTTGCCAATTTAAGTTTTATTTAGAAAGTCAGAGAACCAATTTGATTTGTTGAATCAATTTGAAGAAAGTTGTAAAAGAAATTTAGTTATTAAATCTTTACCAATGTTTTGTTATTTCAAATTTTTATTAACTTCTTTGATAAGATACATTTTAATATCTTTAAATAGAATATTAGTTTTAGAAAAGTTTCTTTTTTAGTTTGCAGAAGAAGTTGGTTCTGAAATATGTATATTAAAGACTCACATAGATATAATAGAAGATTTTAATGTTGATTCTATGAAGAAACTAAAAGAAATTTCACAAAGAAAGAATTTTCTTTTGTTTGAAGACAGGTATGCAATTTTATAATGATGTATTGTATATATGTACAAATATAAACATCTTTAACCTGATAGATACATATTAAAGCCAAGTAATTGCCACATTATATTGGGCTATTTTACTACTACTATTAGTAATCAAATTATTTAAATAATTTATATAATTAATAGTAGTAATAGTAATATAGCCCTGTATATTCTGGCAATCGTTTGGCTTTAATGATGCATTGATTAAATATAATAATTGCAATTGAAATAAATATCAGTTTTTTAATAAATAATTTACATTATTTTACACTTTTCAAAATTAAGGAAATGAGTGTGAAAATTCTTCTTAACATATCTGAAAAATGTTTAGATAAAATCTTGATATAATTTAAATTGAAACACAAATTCCATTCCATGGCAACTTGTATATGTTTATTAGATTTATTTTATAAAATACTGAGTTTACAGTTAATAATAAAGATAGCTTTCATTTTAAGTTAATATTCTGTATGTTTTAATAATTTTACATTTTAATAAAAATTAAACATTTTAATAAAAATTTTATATAAGTAACTTTTATAAATATGGATAATTTATATTCAAAATGTCTTACTACAACAAGGTTCTTCTAGGTATTTTCTTAGATGATTAGATTACTAAATACAATAGTCAATTTGGCACTAGAGGTAAGCGTTAGGCGCCATCTCTTATTAATATTAATAATTATAAATAAATCAATTAATTTAAATAATTTAGAACTGCTGGGAGAAAAAATCGGCCCGGAGCGGGATTAATAAGAGATGGCGCCTAACGCTTACCTCTAGTGCCAAATTGATTACGTAATTTATTTAATAATTAGCATAAATACAATAGTGTCTTTTAGTTTGAATATAATTCATTCCAGGAGACTGTTCAAAGTCCAAATCAGTTTTCCCCATTAGAAATAATGGAAAGTGAATTAATCTGTTCCCACACCCTAAACAATACCCATTTTGATAAACTAAACAGCAAATACACTTAATTGAAGTACAGGTAGCCCTCAGTTTATGCTGGCTCAATTTACTCCATTGCACAATTCACCATTTCGCGGTAAAATTCCCCCATTTTTCCCTATGCCAGACTGATTTTCGTTTCAGTGTTGACATATTTACTGAGCCGTGACATCGTACTGTACATTCGTTAAAACAAAGATTTTTATTGAATATATTTATTTTTTCTGTTTAATATTATTGGGTATGTATACATTTGCATTAAATTAATATTAAAATACTAAACGTTTTGGTTCCCATAAGTCAAGTTATTAAACTTAATAGTCCAATAAATGTCGTCCAAATCCAGAGTGCTAATGAATGCAAATAGTTCATATCCCAAATCAGTTCGTTCAGGAAAATACCTTACAATGCAGTAGCATTTCTGGCAATCACAAATTATCGTTAGTGAGACAAAATCTACTTCTTGTTGGCCAGATGATATCTAACTCTCCTTAGTAAGACAAAACAAACTTCAATTTTTCCACCCAAACTGACCTTATATATGTGCTACGGTGGCCGGCGGTCAACCAATCAGTGTCTCTGCTCATCTGTAGCTCTATTTCAGGTTAGTGTATCCTTTCAACTATGGAAAGTTTGACGGATGAACTTTTTGAGTTAGACAATGATTGGGAATGAAATGCAAATGTAAAAAGGAGCATCATTGCATCCATTTGACCATATTCTGAAATTATTAATGAAAGAAAACAAAAATCTAAACAATTACAAATCAATACTTTTTTCCAAAAAATGTGAGATCCAAAACTTTGAAATGTCATTTGTTTTTCTTAAGATTTTTTAATAACATTTCATTTTATTTTATCATAAAATACATTTAAAAAAATTAAATTTATAATATATGTATTTTGTATTATATTTTATTAATAAACAAAATTATTTGCTTATTTTTCACTTATGTAGAACCTAACCCTATATCTTTCTGTAAATATGGGTTCATTTTATGCCAATTTGATTTGCGCCGGCTTTTGTAGGAACAGAACTGTGGCATAAACTGGGGGCTACCTGTATAAATAAGACAGTTAAATTCTCTAAATAATAATAATTGGATATTATTTACTTGATAGTTAAAAAAATGGGTATCAGGAAGGATTACGAGTTTCACATGAAGTAGACTTCAAAACATATTAATGTTAGTCATATTTTTTTTAAGTGATGGTTCTAATTAAATTCTTAAAATCATATAAATATTATTAGTTATAACTGATATGACATAATGTGTACAAATTTTCATAACCAGCATCTAAATAAGCATTATTTTTGAAGTATAATCTTTTGAATATATCTATAATCCAAATCATACAGTTATTGTGGTATGGAGATTGATGATCCAATATGTGAAAAGTATAAGCATACTATTATACAAACTGAAGTTGATGCTACATCAACTTCGGTTTGTATATCAATTCTCTGACATTTAAAATCAAATAACAATATTGAAAGTATTGAAGTGGCTGCCATAAGCATATTTAGTCCAATTTTGAAAAATTGAACTAAATATGCTTATGGTAGCTTCTTCAATACTTTTTTACAAATACAAAAATTTAAATAAATTTGTAACCCATAATAGTTTGATGATGAATATTTAAATACATGTTTATATTTGTTCATTGGCCATAACTTTATAATGGTCATTGTTCCAAGATTTTATAATATATTATTGCATTTCAGGAAATTTGCTGATATTGGAAATACTGTTCAGCTTCAATATAAATCTGGAATCTACGCGATTGCCGAGTGGGCAGATTTGATCACCATTCATCATTTACCTGGTCCTGGCATTATCCGAGCTCTTAAAAATGTAATCCAAATTTTGATTATTATATTTTCACAAGTTTCATTAGTAAATTAAAATATAATTTTATTTTATTATTATTTTTTTTATTAGATTGCAGTTAATCAAAAAAATGGATGTTTGATTGTAGCAGAAATGAGTTCAGCCGGTTCTTACACAACAAAGGAATATGCAGCTGGTAATTATATCTTGTTTTCATAAAAGCAGTTTGCAATGAACACTTTAAAAATCACAATTTTTATCAGTTTTGTTTTACAATATATGATTAATGCAAAGAAAATGTGAGATAATAATTTGTTTCTTTGCTATTTTAACAAAAATTAACAATACAACTGTATATCAGCATTGAGGAAAAGGTTTATTTGGGGTTTATGCTATTCCCTTACAAAATTCACTAATTGGGTTGAAGTTGATATATATTGGGGAGACTGCCAGACTACTCTCTTTATTTTGCAGATTGTTATGAAGATGTTACACATAATAGGTGTACAACAGAGCTAGCTAAACAAGTAATACAGGGTAAATTTGATCTGCTTTGGTCAAAAACTTTGCTCCTAAGATATTATGGGGACTGAAGAACACTATTTATTTGGGAGTTTCTTCATTGTGTCAATGCTAGCATACAACTTTCCCACAATTAATATACTGGAACTGTGGATAGCACTATTTCGGCTTCTAAAGTTGTAAGCTGCATATTTTGCTTCATTAATGGCACTGCTATGAGTTAATTTACTTCTGTATATTGGTTTGGTAATTTATTAGTTTTATTTCATTGAGTATACTGGTTGTTAAAAATTTCGTAATTTTATATATTTCAATTACATTCCATGCTTGATTGGGGGAAGTTTTGAAAAATGTTTGTCACCATTTGTATTCCATTTTTCAAATAGTAGTATTCTGTTCTGTGTGAATGATAATATTACTTGAAAAGGACAGTTATGTACTGTCAAAAGTGCTTAAATAACCTTTTCTGTAATGCTGATATAGTTGTGGTGTTAATTTTGTAACATTACTTGGCATCTAGTGTTTTTACATTTTATAACTTGCTGTTTTAACAAATGATGGCTTTACAACTTATACGTGATTTATTTTCACAAACTAAAAAATAAAAAAAAAATATTGTTTCCTTTTCATGTGCATGTCTGTCTGATTTTTCTGGTAATGTACTTGATGTTATCTTTTTAAAGTCAAATAGTTTATTAGTCTCTAAGGCATTTTAACTAAAAGATGTGACAACAGTATACATTGTCATATCTCTTCAATATCCATTTTTAAAAAACACTAAGACCAATTTGTCTATATGAGGAAAATGGCATCTGTATGAATAAATTTTAAAATCAATCTGTCTATTTTTGAAATTTAAATATTTGCCAATACTATTTTTTAATGTGTAGCTTTTGTATATAATGGTTCTGTTCAACAGCAAACTCAATTCTGGAGCAGTTTAGTAATTTTTTTCTGAATGCCCTCTATGGAATGCTACTTTATACAATAGCAACACGTTGATCAAGTTTCAGACACATACTTACTTTAGACACTTTCTTTGGGTCAACTGATCAAATTACTGCACCCATACAAAAGAAGTACACTTCACTTTTTTTCATGCAGTACAGAACAGATAACATTATGTGGCACATAATGTTATCTGTTCTGTTGGCCATGTAAATGGGGTGGATATCAATGTGGAGTTTGATTTACATTAAAATTTATGCAGGTTTTTGGGTGTAGCCACATAAGAAAGTTGGGCACAAAGTGAGGTTATACTGTACAGTCGATCCCCTTATAAGATCATTGATTTTTCCGTTTTATCTGAATTACATGTTGTACGAGTCACTTAGATTTTACAAATACGTGTGCCGGGCTGTGAACGGCTCACATATTTGTAAAATCTAAGTGACTCGTACAACATGTAATTCAGATAAAACGGAAAAATCAATGATCTTATAGGGGGATCGACTGTATTTGAATAAAACCTTTACTACCTTCTCATAAATATGTTTATTCCATCTATGAGTACTTGAATGAATCCTACTGAAGTTTATAAACTGTGTTTCAATATTCTGTAGGGTTGGCAATATGTCTACAGTTTTCATTAATATATATGACAGACAGCAGTAGACATCAGGAAAATCAACAAACTTCAGTTCAAAATTTTGCAAGCTTGTAACCAGTTGAAATTCACACTTCATTTTTATAAAAAAAAAAGTGTAAAGATTGGTTGCATTTTGTTTTTTCAAGATCAATTGCAAGATGAGCATTTTTGGAATATTATTCTTTTTAAAATAAAAAAGATATAAATGCAATGCAAATCTGTAAAAAGATGTTCAGTTTATAACAAGAATGCCTTGAAAGAACATGTCTGCCAGAAGTGATTTGTGAGATTTCATTCTGAGATTTTTCTGTCCAAGAGACACTAAAACTATAATAAAATGTAGTTTTAAGATGGAAAAAGGGGGTTAATTTATACTTTGTTTTTTTAATCACATTTTGATATATAAAATTATAATTGTGGCACCCTCCCAGGTAAATTTGTTTTAATTTCTGGAATTTAAAAAAATTTTATCATACAGCATATGACATTTTAATATTAACCAATAAAAGGCATATATAACTAAAAATATATTTTCCTTGTGACTTTACTCAGGAATAGTATTTATAAGGAATTGTGAACAGCTGAAGAAGGGCTTTATAGCCAAAAATGCATTCTATGACAATTTCAAGTTATTAATTTTGCCATGCTCTTTTAGACATATATTCTGTGAGATTTAAAAAGTATTAAAAAAATTATTTTTTAATAATACTTTGTAGTAGTGGCACCACACAGTTTTAATGTTAAACTTAAAAATTTCCACTTAAATATTTTTTATCGTAATTTAACAAAATTACTCCTTTTAAGCTATTTTTATTACTTAATTTTATATCCTTGTATAACTGAAAATTATTGGACCTAATGGTCCCCTTAACTTCCTCCAAGTAATAGGAAAGTCTAGCAAGTACCCTTGCCAGATATTTTTGCCAAGAAGGGCAGGGAGTTCTTTCAGCTGCCCAAAAGATGGCAAAAGATTATAGATTAATGATTATTCAATATTATTTCAGTTTGAATAAACTGAAAAAATTGTCTGTGCAGCTTTTTGACACACAAATGAGACTTATTGGTCAACCCAATATTATGTGGTGTCCTGTATGAAGTTTGGATTACTGTATATTGCAAAGGATATGCAATATTATGTAAACTTTATTATTTTTTTATTTTTATTTTAGAATCTGTATTAAAATTTTAGCAGGATTCAGTATGATACTCTAATTACAATCAATATTTCATCTTAATTAAATAAAATAATTAAAGTGAATTAATAATGCTTGTATGTAAATATCTGGCTATCATAGGGCTTATCACATCAAAAACTGACATAGGTTAATACACAGATATTAGGAATATAGATTGAAAACTGACATACATTGAAATAAATATGATAGCCGGGTTAAATACAAGGTTGTGAAAATTAAACTTCCCCAACTCAGAGGGTTCTGGAATGTTCTACTGCTTGAAATGAAACATTTGGACAACAGGTACTTCAGATGATGCACTCGCTATCTATTAAATAAAAAAATTTGTATACAAAATGTCACCAGTAGGTGGTGTTAGAGTTATGCAACTGTGGTCCAAATCTGTTCCATTATTGGAGAATGCTATCTTAACATGCTAACGACATTTTGATCCCAGAGCTTCAGAAAGGCTTCAGAAAGCCTTCAAGATATCATGTTCATGAAAGATGGTGCACCATTCCACTTCCCTTGCTCTATTCAATGTGTTAAGGCAGACTTTCACAGATGAATGGGTGATCATTTATTACTTCCCAACAACTTTGGCCTCCTTGTTTACCTGATTTCACTTCATATGACATCTGGCTATGGGATTTTGTGAAAGATGTGTATTTGTGTCAGATCTAAAGGACAGAGTTCATCGGCATGTTCTCATGATTAAAGAGGACTCATTGCATTCAGCAGTGGAAAATGTGATTTGCATAGCTCCAGAGCCACCTGTCAGCAACTTCTTGTACAAAAAATTTGTATTTAATAAATGGCAAATGCATCATCCAAAATAGCTGTTGTGCAAATGTTTCATTTCAAGCAGTAGAATACACTCCAGAAACCTCTGAATTAGAGAAGTTTAATTTTGACAACACTATACTTTAAAGTGAAATATTGAGGGCTGAAAGCTAATTGTCATTTACTTCACTCTAATTAGTTTAGCAGGTAATTTTTTCATAACTGCATCCAAGTGATCACATAAGTGAGGTTTTACTGTAGTAATTTGAAAAGAAAATTAACAGAACTGGAACAATTACATATATTTCTGTCTCTAAACACAAACATTTTTGGTGTTCAGATATAAATACATAATTCTAGTTAAATTATTGTAATCATACTGAGAAAGTGCTTTTTTCTTAAATATGTAAAATTAACACTGAAATTATTTGCAAGTTCTATTTTCTGGTTGCGTATAAAAATGTTGCAATTGTCATTCCAATATTATTTATTATTAAAGTTTAAAGAAACCAAGAGTATGTGCTTTTAACTTAAATAAAAATATTAACATTGTAATTGTTTTGATAATTTGCAGAAGCTATCAATCTTGCAAAGGAATATTCTGATTTTGTTGTAGGTGTTATCAGCCAGTCTGTTTTAACTTCAGATCCAAATGTATTGCATTTAACTCCAGGTAATGATTTTTTTCATATTTTATACGTGTACGTATAATCATTAGGAAAAAGATTGACAGCTTATTTTTGTTTAGGTGTTAAAATGAGCGAAGGAACAGATAATCTAGATCAGAAATATGTGACTCCAGATGTTGCAATCAAAGAGAGAGGTGCTGATGTGGTGATAGTTGGAAGAGGAATAACTGAAGCCAAAAACATCCGGGAAACTGCTTCTGCATATCGTCGAGCAAGTTACGGTTTTTATCAAGAACTATTGATCAGTGGTGAGAATGAATGAGTCTTGTGATTAAACAAGTTAATGCTGTTTGCGTTTGTTTCAACTACTAAAATATTTCTGGAAGCATTTGATTGGTTGTCATCAATATATTGCTTTTTTTTTTTTTTTTTTGTGTTTTTTGCATCGATTATCATTTTGACACCACCGTATTGGAAAATTTTCAACAACTGTGATAAAATTTATAAAATAAATTTGATGTGATATTATTTGAAAATTATAAAATACCATTACAATCATGGTGTATATAAAGAAGGAAAATATGTGTTATAAAATTCTAAATTAAATTACATTGTTGGACATTTTTAAAGCACAATTTTTAGGAAAAGTGGATGTTTCAATGACAGTTTATCAGGTGCCAATATTCAGATCATACATGTAACAGCTTTGATGACAGTCTAACAATCTTGGAAGAAAAACAAAATTGATTGACTAAAGTAGAACAATCAATGAATCAAAGTGACTAGCAATACTTGAAATGCAGTCTAACAATCCTGTAAGCAAATAGTCTTGAACTATGTTTACATTCCAGATATACAAATATTGTTTAAATATCAATACCTGTTAGTATGTAAGAAAATCACACCCCTCCAAACTTCCATTTTCTATATACTTCTGGAATATGTGCATAAAATGAGATTCAGTTTCTTTTTTAGAAGTGCATCTTATATAATAACACATTTATGCAATATTTCATAAAACTCTGAACAGTCTACCAATTGTATGAAACATAATCTTAGGATTTGCAATCTCAACTATTTTTTTGAGTTCTCTGAAGCTAGGAGAATATTAAAAACTTTGTGGATTGCAATCATAAGTAAAATGATTTTACTTTTTATGATTGTTATACATTGCTTTTTTAGAAAATGTGATGAATCTAATTCTGTAAAAGAAATGTTGAAAAACTCTTGATTTTTATATTAAAATTTTTGATGTTCTTTTCATTGTATGGTTATAACTTTTTTAAAAATGCTTAGTTTTTCACATTTACAACACACTTTTTCCTTTATTTTTAAAATCTAAACTTCCATTGTAGAAATTAAAATTATGATCATATATAAAATTCTGAACCAAATTATTAAGTCTATGGAACATTGTATATTAATTAAAACAATGTCTAATACCCCGTTCGCACACAATCCACGACTCACTTCGATCTCGATTTACCCACAATCTGGATTGTGACTGTCGCCAGTGGAACGTCGTGCTGTTCGCACAGGTAACTCGCTTGAGAAGAACCCGGCTATTACACGCGATGATAAAATTGACATAACTACGCGGTAAGTCACGAACACCAACAAACAAAATGGAAGTTTTGGTTAGAAATAAATACTTTTTCTTGCCGTATATCTAATAATAAACAGATGTCATCGTCTCTCCAGATGTCTTTTTTATTTTTCTGTCGATAACCGGACACGTGTTCAGCAGCCATCTTGTATTTTCTCGCGCGCGTGGGATTGTGGGATCTCTCTTATAACTGGATCTAGTTTCGAGAACTCTCTCCAGTCGATCGCGATTTAGCCTCGTTTCAGTCGAGATTGAAATGGTCGAGAGCGTTCGCACCGCGGAACTCTCTCCGACTTAAGCCACAATCTAGATCGAAATGCTCGGTGCGAACGGGGTATAAGAATTCACATCTATTGACCTTTCTTCCCTCATTTGTGTGGGTCCTATACATGCAAGATCTATATAATTGTTCTAAAATTCGGATGGTAGACAGCCACTTAAACAGTATTTTTCTTCAGAATGCAAAATCAAGTTTCTAAGTTACTACAGTATGGTCTTTAATGTGGTGGTTAAGGTGTCAGCAGTTAATGTATAATTTCATTTTATACATTAATTGTGCTCCACCCCAAGTAGTCCTAGATGACTGCATAGATGCTATCATTTTACAATTAACAAAAATGTTAAAATGTGTTTGACACTAACTACTCCCGTTTTGCTTATTATGCAGTGTCAAAAGTTTGTTCTACATAACTCATGCACAACTTTAGTTTTCACCTAAGACCTCTATCTTCATTTCATCTTGATTTTTTTCTCAAAGGTAAGTGTAGATAGAAGCTTGCTTCTAATTTTTATACCATTACTGTGCTCCACATCCACAATAAATTTTATAATAATAAGAGTGTATGCATTAATATAATGCAATGTTAATATATAAACTGAATTTTTACTGACAATGGAAATCTTTCAATTCAGTGTTTCTCAACCGCCGGTCTGCAACTCTAATCTGACCGGTCCGCAAAAACTTTAAAAATATATATTTAACCTGTCCTGTGTTGTTCTCAAATAGGAAATATGTGGATTATTAATCCGTTTATTGATCAGCAAACTAATAGATTGAACGACTTTCAACAGAAAAAACTAATAGATTGAACGAATTTCAACAGGAAAAACTAATCGAATTAAGTTCAGACTTGGGATTAAAAACATTGTTTGAATCAATGCCCATAACACAGTTTTGGATTAAAGTTAAAACTGAATATCCAGTTTTACATGAAAAGGCAGTTAGGATGTTACTACCTTTTTCAACAACATATTGTACTTATGTGAATCAATGTTTTCAGCAATGGCAATGATAAAATCAAAACAACGAAATCGTTTAAGTGTTAGTTCTGCATTACGCCTTTCAATTACCACCTTAAATCCAAGAATTCATGATTTTACTAGCAAAAAGAAAAGCAGCGATCACATTGATTTGTATACTAATGTACTGGTAAATAAATAAATAAATATTTAGTAATTCAAACACAAATTATTATCGTATTTATTTTCAGGCACTTGGCAATTTTTATCATCAAGTTTTTATTTAGTTGATACGTGTTGATATTACACACGTTTCGGGCATTTATTGCCCCTCTTCAGCCAACTAAAAACAAAAGTTTAACACTATAAAATTACAAATAACAAAAGTTTAACACTATAAAATTACAAATAACAAAGATATTAGGTATTGTTTTTCTAAAAACATACCTTTTTAATTTACGAGTTATCAAGATATTAAAAACCACAGGTTTCATCGCTTATGCTTACTGGTTGTTATGGAATTACAAAAATTTCTTGGCTCTTAACACACTTTAATCTAAGAAAACATACGGTTTATGTTATCTAAAATATTTTAAAACCTTATTTTTTATGGATTTACATGACAAAATTACAATGAAGTACGTACCTAATTATTTGTTTTTCATTGTTATAAAATCTAAACACTTTAAAATTTTTCTTTATACATTTACAACAATACTAAAATTGACATATTTGTCTTTCAAAATCATGCAATTTCCTCTTTTTGCAAACCATTGGGATGACCTCTCCTCCCCCTCTTCTTTCCCCCAGTTAAGCGTACCACTGGTTACTATAGTCATATGACTAGCAGGCCACCTTGTGGCAGTATTACTTTTTACATGAAATATCTTTTTATCCTAAAATGTCTTTTTTATACAAATTTTAGGATAAAAAGACATTTTAGGATAAAAAGATATTTCGTGTAAAAAGTAATACTGCCACAAGGTGGCCTGCTAGTCATATGACTATAGTAACCAGTGGTACGCTTAACTGGGGGAAAGAAGAGGGGGAGGAGAGGTCATCCCAATGGTTTGCAAAAAGAGGAAATTGCATGATTTTGAAAGACAAATATGTCAATTTTAGTATTGTTGTAAATGTATAAAGAAAAATTTTAAAGTGTTTAGATTTTATAACAATGAAAAACAAATAATTAGGTACGTACTTCATTGTAATTTTGTCATGTAAATCCATAAAAAATAAGGTTTTAAAATATTTTAGATAATATAAACCGTATGTTTTCTTAGATTAAAGTGTGTTAAGAGCCAAGAAATTTTTGTAATTCCATAACAACCAGTAAGCATAAGCGATGAAACCTGTGGTTTTTAATATCTTGATAACTCGTAAATTAAAAAGGTATGTTTTTAGAAAAACAATACCTAATATCTTTGTTATTTGTAATTTTATAGTGTTAAACTTTTGTTATTTGTAATTTTATAGTGTTAAACTTTTGTTTTTAGTTGGCTGAAGAGGGGCAATAAATGCCCGAAACGTGTGTAATATCAACACGTATCAACTAAATAAAAACTTGATGATAAAAATTGCCAAGTGCCTGAAAATAAATATGATAATAATTTGTGTTTGAATTACTACTAATAACTACTAGCACGGTTTCAAAGTACCAAAATAAATATTTATTGCTCGATGTAGTTTGCAGTTCTTTTTACAACAGAGAATTTTTTCAATTAAAAATAATATTGTCATCAGTCCACTTAAAAAAGCAGATATTTTCTGGTCCGCAATGAGTTTTGGATTGAGAAACACTGTTTCAATTCATATTAAGAAAATAAATGCTGTTTCAAGAGATATGATCTAAGAGACTTATTGTTTAACAAGAAGAATGAGGTTAATTTTTTGTCTGGCTCCTGATACCAAAAAAGACATCAAAATTTGAAACATACGACATGCAATTATCTCATACTTCCTAACCAGCTTTTCTATTGGCATAATAGTAATAAGAGATATTTTTTTCTACCTCTAGTAAATGTTTCAAGTCTAATCTATAGATCAACCTAGATTTTTTAAAATCTAGGTTAAAAATTTAATATTTGCTGACCTGTTTGTGTGTGTGTGTTATATTGGTGTGTTGTAGAGTTTTGTGACAAATATTAGTTACACTGTATATTAATAAAAATTCATAGTTTTTGGTGACTGTGTTGTATTTTGCACCAATAATCATGTACAGTTTATACAAATTTTATCCATTCCAATAAATTAGATAACATTATTCAACTTTTTCCATTATGGATGCCAATTACTATTTCTTACAAAGATAGTTTTTAATTAAAAAATAATTTACATGCAATAAATTCATAACTGAGGATGCAGTCCTACAATACCAAAATGGCTGAAACAATGAAATATTGGCACTTGACGAGATAACACTGTGGAAACTTACATAAAAAGTGCATATGATTAAACCACCATCAAATTAAAGAGTAACTTTATTACATAACCTTTTACAAAGGTAATGTTTCCACTGCAACAACTGTAACAAAATTATTCAAACTGTTAAAAACTGACCATCTAAATATAACAAAATTTCAGAAACAAAAGAAATTGAAAATAAAATCTACCATATCACTACAGTGGCAGCTGGAAAGACAGTGTTCATTATTACATGTATATGAATGTATGCTATTTTTGGCACTTAAAAGGAGAATATATATCTCAAAACATCAACTTTCTTTCTTATCAATCTGTAGCGATAACTTTTATTCTTATTAATGAATTTAGAATACTCAATGAGAATTTTTGGGAATTTAATGCAAAGGACATAATGGAAGAAATGAGAAAAAATCTAATGAGTTGCTTAACTTTCCCAGCAACATTTAAAACTGCATGTGGCACCATCTGTTACGATGTTTTGTTATAAAATGGCAAAAAGTTTAATTTTGAGGGTAGGGATGAATTTTATAAAAAATTGATTTTACTCATTATTAACATTTACAAAGTCCAACTATACTCAAGATATAACACATGACCCATTCTCCCCATTCCCTTGACCACCAAAATTTAATGTGAGATCCTAGATTGATTAATTAATTAAATAAATACATAGTTAATTTTTGAAGTGGAAAAAACCCACTTTCTTGCCTCACCACCTGGCATTTCTATTGCCCTCTAAAAGATGATCAAAATAACTGTACAAAATCAACAATCTTTAACATTGTTTTGAATAAGTTCCAAGAATAAATCCAAACAAATGGTTATTGAGGAAAAACGTCAAAATCAGTTAAATTATGAGGCAAGAAGAGTCACAACGCCTCATTGATGACATTAAGAATCTCAAATTTGATTGCCTTATATGATAAAAAGAATTGGAACACTTGGCAAGGAAGTATCAACAATCCGGCCCAGTTGTCAAATTCTCTAGGGCCCACTCTGGCCAATGCAATGACACATCTTGACCTTAGACCAATTAAATCAAAATCACCTGATTCAACTCCCACACTCAGGAAGGATAAAAAGGGCTCAAACTAGCAACTCCAGCATAGATGAAGCTCTATAGATGAAGCAAGCCAACCAAAATTACTGTAATTATCAAAATCAATTTATGCAAACTTTAAAAATTTTTATTTATTTTTTTTTTATGTCAAAAAACTACTAAAATTTTTTATATTTAAAAGTCAAAAACACTTTGACATTGCAAAAAGTCACTTCCATTTATCATTTGTCAAGATCTTTCAACTTTTTCAGAACCCAGCCATTGACTTGTTGAAAAAGACCAGTGTTTTTAACTTTTAGATTATTTTTAATTACATATTTACTGTTATTTGAAACAAAATATTTTTGGAAATTAATGCTAGAACAATTTATATCTACTTAGAAAATTTTTCAGAAAATAGTTTGTTGGAATTTTTATTTTAATTTAATATATTGCATTAAGGCAAGAAAGCCTTTAGTAAACTCTGATAAAGATTCTTTCTATAGTGTCATGAGATATAAATGAAATTTGTTTCAAGCCAATAATCAATGCTGTTATATATCAGCTATCATTTGAAATAACTTTTGATGATGTATTCAGTTTTAATTTGAATAATTAATTTCATTACTGAAATTAATTATTCAAATTTCATTACTGAAGTTATTACTGTAATGAACATTAAGTAATGAACATTAAGTTCATTACTGAAATTAATTATTCAAATTAAAACTGAATACATCATCAAAAGTTATTTCAAATGATTTTGAATAATTAATTTCATTACTGAAATTAATTATTCAAATTACATTAGTGCATAAAAAATATTTTGTTAGACATTATGATGCATTTACTGTTATGAAAATAGACATCCAATAAATTTTCAAACATGAAAATTTATTGGATGTCTATTTTCATAATTCTTATTTCTTAACATTCTTATTTGTTTCAAAATTAAACAAATTTATGTGACTGCAAGAATACAATTCCATAAAATTTTTAAGATTGCTAATTAATATCATATATCCATTAAATAGCAATTTCAATTTTATGTAACAGAAATTGTACAGTTGGTCCATAAACATCATTTGTGGATTATGCAAATTCAGAGAGTTTATCCTGACAGACTGATAAAATGCATCAGGCTAAGAGTTAGCCTTTACTGTATTGTAATATTCTATTTTATTATATAATTATACTATTCCAAACACATTACAGTTTGGAATTTATTTGGCTAAGCCAAAATATACATAAATATTAACTAAAAAATAAAAACATACTTATGCTTTCTCTCATTCTGTTCCTTAGATCTGTCAAGCACATATAGAAAAAAATGTATTACACGTAATCCTGTTTCACTTTAATATTTATGAAATACAAACTTGAAAATCTTGAATGTTTTGAGAAAATTCATATTGGTAAATAAAACTTTTATTACATTTTATCATCATAAAGAAGTGTCACTTTTTATTAAAATTTCTGATCATCTAAATCTGTTTTTATTTTTTCCTTCCACCTCTTTCTTTCACTTGCACTGTGACAGTGGTTGATGGCAAGAGATTATAATATGCCAAAGTATTAGAATCTTTTATAAACATACCCTGTAAAGTAAGAAATCAATGATGAAATTTAATCTACACTACTTTCTAAAATATCTAAATTAATAAATTACCTCATATATCAACTTCTGTTTTCCTGGAGGCATGCCAGTTTCTTCATGTATTTTTGCTTTAATAACAGATACCTAGTAATATTTTAAAATTTTATTATTAAATATCCTCTATGAAAAGAGTAATTATGTATGTGACATACCATATCTGTAAGTGGCAAAGTTAGAGTTATGATTTGACCATTTAATTTCCAGTCTGCTTTTTCTGCTAATGTTGGCAATTGCACACAGAATGTCACTGGACTCTGCAAGAATTATTATAAATTTAATAAATTATATATATTGATAATAAATATATATTAGATTTGAATTGACTAAAAACAAAAAAGAACCTTGTTTTCTTTTAAGAAGTCTTCTTCAGGAATGAGATTCTCCTCAGTCTTCTGACGCTTAGTTGGGGGTTCTTCTTCTGCAGCCATTCCTGCTGCCATGGTGCTCAGCAATGATGGACCAGTGGGTTCATGCTGTGGAGGTGGTGGAGCAGGCATACCACCCATAGGTTGTCCAAATGGTGGAGCAGGACCCATTCCTGCACCAAGAGGTGGTTGTGGCATAGCTATTCCAAATATATTTTGTTTGTTCATAATAAGGCACAAACAATTGTTATAATAAAGTTTAACAAACATTTAAAACAATACATACCTATTATAGGTGGAGGTTGAATATGTGGTGGAGCAGCAGGAGCAAGAGGTGGCATCATCAAAGTTTGAGGAGGAGGCATTATGGGTTGGGGAGGTATTATTCCTGGAATTGGACCAGTTGGACGAGCTGCAACTGCTATGTGGTGTGGAGGAGCATGTGTTCTCTGAATGACTGTAGTACCAGGAAGAGTGGATGATGGAGGCATAGGGGGTGCTTTTACAACAGAGGCTGAAGTAGCTGGTAAAGGAGGTGCAGATGTTGTAGCATTTGATGCTATAGTAGCAGCAGAAATTATGTCACCTTGTTGAGATGGTTTAGAAGGTCCAATTCTTTCTTTCTCTTCATCTGGTCTATATTTAAAACACCATATTTAATTTAAAATATTTTGCAAATAAAAATTGGAGAAAAGATATTGAAATCTTTATATCATATTCATTGGTTTTTGAAGTATATTTGCATCATATATTTTTTTATGATTATACCATGATGAGGTTTATTCATTAATTTTTCTTTACAATGACTGTTTTAATTGTTAAATAGGGCCTTTAGGTTTCAAATCAATATAATTTTTCCTTTTATTAATATGTAATATTTAATAATGTTATAATTGATAAATAATCATTAATAAACTTATAATTCTTCTAAGTATGATTACATTATTGTCCAATATGCTGTTGTCAAATCATTTAGTTTTATAGACATTTATTACTAATTAGATTTCTAATATAAAATTTAATAAATCATATTTGTAAATATAAATATTTTACATATTTTGAACTTTTCTAATCATAAATTAAAAAATAACAATAATAAATTAAGTTTATTTTTTTTTTGTAAAATAAAATAAATATTTAAATCAGAATTTGAAATGAAAATACAGTTTGACATTTGAAGATTTTGCACATTATTTATGTAACATTTGACAACAGACTCCCATTAAACTTTTTATTATGGAAGTGGATAAACAAGATATATTGTAACTCAGAGAATGGATTCTTGCCAAATGGAGATGAATATAGTAATAATTTTCTTTTTAGAACTGATTTAGATTCTATTTATTGTTGTAATAATAAATATAATGCAATTTCTTTGGCTTCTATGGTCATAATAAAAATCAATATTATAATTAATTAAAATGTTGTTACAAACATCATCAACTCAAAACCAGATTTAACTGATTAAAGTCAAATGATGTGTGAAATTATTGGGCTAGTTTTTAGCCATGTTAATATTTACTAATTAATGTAGCCTAAAAATAGCTCAATAATTCAGCAGATTTTTGACTTTATTATTATGAATAATTCAATTTTTTAGAATTAGAATTAAAACAAACAACTTGAACATTGCAGTAATATGTCAATGACACAACAAAAATTTCACAATTACTTTCCATGTTCTTTCAAAACAATAATAAACAATTATATAAAATATATCACGAGAAAAATGTAACAGTGAACAAATTTAGAATATTTATAATATATAATTTTTTACATTACTTACAATAAACCTTTAATTTTATGAATCTGTTGAATTTGTTCCTCAATAGTAATATTTGCTCTGGCAGCACGTGTAGCAGCTTCCATACTTGCAGTGTGACCATCCCAAGTAACTTTTTCAGGTCGTCTCTTTTCTTCTTCACCAATCTGCATTTATTTGTTTATATTATAAATAAATATTTTATAAAAAAGGTTTGAATTTGCTCCTGATTGATTAACATATTGTAATTATATAGTTATAACTGTAGTACTTTAAATCCTTTTTATACTGTATTTAAAATATATTTTATGATAAAATAGCCATTTCTTGTTACCTTTTTACCAATAGCTGTTTCCTCATCTCCTGATCCAAAGATATCTGTACGTCTTTCAGCAAATTGTTTCAAGCTACTTTCAATTGCAGAACCTAAAAAATTTTTTTTATAAAATTAAAAAATAAACCGTAACTACAAAAATTAGAAATTACAGTTTTTATACCATTAATTTAGATCATTATAATTGCAATTAGTTCATATCTTAAATTAAAATAATGAATAAACTACAGATTTCATGATATTTAAGTTATGAATGAACAAGAAATCTGCAGTCCAATGTAAATTTGATGTATAAACTAAAAAATCTATATAGCCATTAATATACTGAACAAATTCTCATGTTATATTTTAAGGGAATATTTACATTAATTAAAAAACTAGATCAATTTAATTTCTGTAAATGCCAGCCTACCAACATTAATAGAACTGAAAGATATTTTTAATAATTCTAAAACTTTTGAATTAAAATATTTATCTTTAAATAAAAAATAAAATACTGTATTTCTATAATTTCAAATTCAAAAAATGAACACTTTAAAATATATGACATTTGGACAATTGAATTGTTTATTTAGTTATTTATTGCATATCATCATCTGCATAGTAATTATGTAATAAATAGAAAGATTAAATTACCTTGTGCATATACTTCTTCTTGTTGTATTTTTTCATTCACAGCTCTGTCTCTCTGCTCTACCCATCTTGGATCCAATAATCCTGTATAAAATTAGGCTGATATTAATTGTATTTGTATTTTACTCACATTAATTTTATATAAATTATAAAAACAAATAAAAGTTTCATTGCATTTACTCAAATTGAGTCTAAATTATTCTATTATGAGGTATATTAACATGGTGTGTACGTTATAATTGACGCACAGACGGGTATAAAGGAAGCGATCTAGAGAAAGCCCAAAATTTAATCGTAATTTTGTACGATGCGGCTGTTAGAAGGAATTGTTAGAGAAGAGTAAATTAATGACTGACAAATACCGGATGAACTAACCATCAATTGTCACTAGTTGCTATGAGTCATATCTACGAAAATCTCTTCATATATAGGGATCTATATTAAAGAATCATAGAATTCTAAAAGCATATAAATTCTTAAAATATTTTAAATTCTAGGATTTTATTTCTTTAACAAATCAAATACGGTTTGAGTTTACATGATTTATCGATTAAATAAGTATAAAATTCTAGAAAAACAAGCTCTTTTCAAGAGAGTAAATTCTCTTATTGAGTGCTTCTAAGTGACAAGCAGCTAAATAAATAAACCAATAACGTAGTTGGTTCATATGAAACGAATTATGCTATTGGCTTGCTTACTTAACTGCTTGTCACTTAGAAATACCTTCAAATCAAGTTTAGGAGCTAAAAATGAGTACTAAATTTTTTTAAAAAAATACAAAATTCATGGATTTTAGTTTTTAAAAAAATTGAATAAAATTCAAGTTTTAAATCTGAAATTTTAGGAAATTATACGTCGTTTTAAGAAGTCGAATTACCGATTTGATATGAGTTAAAACAATGAAATTAAATTATTAAAAAATGAAATTTTCTATAATTCATTTCTTCGAAAATTAGAAATGATTTAAATACCATTTTTAAATATTTAAGATTTATCAATTCCAGGAAAATAAACTTTTCAAAAAATCAAAAATATAAAAAACTCGATTCTAGAACGGACCAGAGAGAAGCATTTAAAAGAAAAAAATTTCTCTCCAGAAACAATCAATAAACACTAAATGAAGATATAAAAAATACATATTTAACTTTTCATCCGGAAGATAATTATTTAAAAATTTATAAATTCATACATAAAACATTACAAAATTATAATTTAATAATGAATGATACTTAAGAAGGAAGGAGAAGATGAGGAGGAGCAATCTCGAAACACGTCTCCTTTTTTTTCCTTTTTTTAAAATAATGAGTTATTACATTACCTAAATTACATTTTACTATTTTAAAGACGGTAAATTACTTTTTTAAAATGTATTTTAGCTAATTTAAATCGAGATACTCGCTCGCAGAAGCATTAATTTCAACAAGTTTTATATGCAAATTACCTAGAGGAGCTTGAATTTCTCGTAGTTTTATATAAAGCTTACATCACTTTGTAGTTTCCAGTTCTTTTGATACTTGTTTTCTTTTATCAGACGGTTCATAAACTTTAAGACCGAGTCCTTGCTATATATACAAGTTATGCTGTTTCTTATTCTCAAGTGTGAGGAAGGGAGAGGGAGAGAGAGCTCTTTCTGCTCTTGTAAAGTTCTCTTATATATTGTATTTATAGTCGGTGCTTTCAGAATCCCTGAATGTTTTTCTCGACATTCCAAAACAGTGTCTGCTCCTCTAGAATGACCGAATTTATTACTGAATCAGAAAAACCTCTTTTTATCATAGCACTGTTAAAGGTAAATATAAAAAGGGGGAGGGTAGGTCAACGGAATAAAACAGTAAATGTTACTTACACCTTAAACTTTCCTTAAAAAATAGTTTATATAATTAAATTTCTGAGTATAATCGAAGTAAATCTGTAGATTTTGATACTTTCTAAATCTCTGGATGTGTTTCTTAACAGCACAAAACAATGTCCCCATTGTAANTTCCATCAGGTTCAACTCTATGCATGATGTCATAAACAACATGGTTGAAGTGGAAAATTTGAATTGTTAGAATAAACACGATATTTCTATTAAGGTAAATGCAAGTGATATTTCAAATAAAAATAAAATTATAGTAAAAACTGCTTAGGTGACCACCCTCATTCTATGGGCACCTGTCAAAAATTGGCAAAAATTTCTGGCATGGAATAGTTTATACATAATGTCTTTGTATAAGTTATCTGTATTAAATGACCACCTGTATAACTCAACCACAGGCATCAATTTTTGGTCAGAAACGACAGACAACAACTGTAATAAGTGACCATTTCTGTGAATATATCTGGTCAAATTCAAACCCACTTCAGGCACTTCTCCCACTCTTGAAATTAGATGGAGGTGTTAATGAATTAATCTAACTACAAAGGAAATTCATTTTAGTTTGTTCAAAAATGTTTGAAAAATGAAAGAAATGCAAAGTGCTGTTGTTAGAAGAATATGTTAAAGTTATTAGAGAAAGTGAACATGGTTTATCACAATGGCAATTAGCAGCAAAGTTTAACATTGGAAAAATGCAAATTCTCAAAATTTTGCAACAGAAGTCAATATTGGAAGAATGAGAAACCAATGGAAACAAGGATAGCAAATGAAAAAGAAAGCAGCCAAACAAAGAGATAAACAAATTGGTATGGGAGTAGTTTCAAAAAGCAAGTGCTAAATGGATTCCTTTGAGTAGACCAATCATTCAGGCAAAAGTATATGAATTTGCAGAAAAATTAAGCATTTTGTCATTTTGCGCCAGCAATGGATGGCTGGAAAGTTTCCAGAAGCATCATAACATTGTTTATTGCATCTTGTATGGTGAAAGTGGTGATGTTGATCAAGTTAGAATGATTGTATGATCAATGTAGAAGATTGGAAACAGCATGTTCTTTTGATGATAGATGGATACGATTTGTGTGATGTCTATAACACAGACGAAATAGGACTTTTTTCATACCATTCCAGATAAAACTTTAATCAAAAAGGGCAAAAGTCACTTCGACCTAGATGCTTTAAAGGTATTAACATTGCAACTTTGGGCATGACCTGGAAAGCAAACTCCAGAGCTTGGATGACAGCAGATATTTTTCAAGAATAGTTAGAAAAATTAAATGAAAAAAATGAGAAACCAAAATTGGAAAATTTTACTTTTTCTGGATAATGCCACCTGCCATCCCCCAAGATTTCACTTTCAAATGTTGAATTGAAATTTCTTCTGCCCAACACTATGAGCCACCTTCAACCAATAGATCAGGACATAATCTGGGAGTTTAAGATGCTATACAGAATAAACTTGTAAAATTTTTGCTTGTTCAGATGGAAAGTGCTGAAAATGCAATACAATTTGCTAAACAACTGACCATTTTGGATGCAGTTAAATGGATTAAAAATGCCTGGAAGGAAGTAAATTCTGAAATGATCAGCAAATGTTTTAGAAGGTGTTTCTTTTTTCATGATGCTGCAGATACTCCTGATGCTGAATACATTTAGAAATGGAATTTCAAGAGCTTTGTACTGCTGCACAAATTAATGACACTGTAACTACTGAAGATGTTCAATGCTTTGAAGATCTGGATGATGACTTAAAGGATCAATTTATGGTTAGGGAAAAGACTAATCTATGACCGTCAGAAACAACAAAAGACAATGACAACAACGATGATGATAACGGAGAACCAAGTGATGATTGTATTGAACCTTTTCCACTGTCAGAGACGCTTTTCACAATTTCAAGATTGAAAGCAAAGTTTATCAATCTTGAAAGACCTGACTTTTGGAAAGCATAGATTTAATTGAAAACAAACTTGAGGAAGTCATCCAAAAGCAAAAGTTAACACAGGTTAGACAGACTAAGGAATTTTTTAATAAAGCACATTTAGATATTGTCTAACCTGTACATGTAAATTTAGTTTATTAAATTCTTTGTTCTAAATTGCTCTAAAATTGTGTTGTATTTTACACAATTTTAAATACAGGTACAGTACATGCACCTACATACTAGAGTACATATTATATCCTTACTGTCAATTTATTGAACTGTAGACCTACAGTATTTTCCTTAGGGGTATAAAATATTGTACACGATACAATTAAAGTTGATCTCATCATTTGATAAAATTTTTTATTAGTTTTTTTTTTAAGCTCATAATACAGTATATGTACGATAAATAGTTTCTGTATCAACCTACTTTATTTCCATGATATTTTTAGAAAAATAATATCCATAATAATATTGTTATGGATTGGTTAATAAATAATCAATAATAATATTGTTTTTTGAATATTTGCATGCAAATATTCAAAAAACAATAAACACATAACCACAAAAATCAGTTTTACAGGCAACCTTCCTTTTTTGATTGTGCATTGTCATTGGTGTAATGAAATCGTATTATGAGAAGAAATGATAATATTGTTTTATTATTAATTAATAATTTTTCTTATTGTACTTAAGAAAATATTAAATATTTTAAAAAAATACAGTATTTTTGAAGTTAAAATAAGATTAAACTAATAAAAACTAAAACCATATGATGCACTTCTATATTAATGAAGTAATACACATAACTGAGGAGTGAACGAAGAGAACTAAGTTCAATTAATTAAGTCAGAAAAAAGAAAGTGTGCATTATAATTGAGAAAATGCAAATACTGTATTAATCTTTAAAATACTGGTATTAATGATTTTCGAGTGATATATTGACACAATCCTACAGTTTTCAAGCTATTAAGAAACAACTGGAGTTATGACTGGAAATCGGCATCAGGGATCTATTCTATACCATTACATGATCAGTGTTTTAATTCGGATCTTGTCTACATGGGCGCAACAATGCGCAACTTGCAACAACATATAAAAGAGCATAAATATATGATTAATAAGAAACTTGACAACACCATGCTACTGGCTTACGCAACACAACACGACATTCAAGTCCATTGGAATCGGACGGAAATAATTAAACCTACGACAAATTTACATACAATGAAATATCTGGAAAAATTAGAGATCTTTAAGGCACACAGGAAAACTGGTTGCATCAACCATAGATATGCGGACTCTTTACCTACCACATGGCAATCCTTTTACAAGAATTAATGACTTTATTTATTCTTATTTTTGTTAAGGGACATTTTTTCGGTTTAATTTATATTTTTCGTTTATTTTATCAGCAAAGCTACTTTTCCGTTATTTATATTTTAATTTCGTATTTACATTCTTTTTTGTGTTCGATTTATTCTATGTTATGGTAACTGAAGAAGATCGTTAAGAAATGATTGAAAACGTTTTTACTTTATTAATTTTTATTAGCTGGGTTATTAAAGGTGTGTTTTATTCATAGTATTAAATGTCTTATAATATCATGACGACTCCTGTTAACTGAGTTATCCAATAAGAATAAAATACCAACATAGCTCTATTGTTGAAACAATTCGCTTATTTTTTCTCACCTCAAGTTTTACTTAGTAGAAATTAGATGCCACAGATAATGATTTTACCGAATACTGAATATTCAGCTATGCTCTCGGCCAAAGTGCCGAATATTCAGCGGCTGAATGTTCGGAAAATTATGTATACATTTCATGGGTGACAGGTTACAACCTGTCTCATTGCAGTGGGTGCAGTAGTGACACTGCGGGTGCATTTGTTTCATTTGCAAATAGATCATGTCACAACATGCATTATTTGTTCATTGTTACGTCAAATTGTGTTACTAATAGTTCTTATTACTAAAAAATATCACTGTTTGTTCACCAAAAGCTTTATAAAATGACACCATTTAATAAAAACTTGTCTATTTGAGAATATTATGAGATTTGTAGTGAAGATAATAAACTGGCTGTGTGTTTGCTGTGTAACAACAAGATCTCGCGTGGTGGAGAAGAAAAGAAAGCAAATAAGTAAAATCTTATTACGTATTAATTAAGTGAAACAATTTTAGTCATATTTAGTATTTAGTGCTTGTAATTTTTTATTTCTTGTTTTTTTTTTGCTCTGTACTTTATTTCATATGTAGTATTTCGTTGATAAACTTGATATAAACAAGTCCTATTTTTAAGTATACATTTTATTTATTATCTTTAAAATTCAGAGGATTAAGTGAAGACAGAATAATACAATTTTAAGCTAGTACTGTTTGGGAATTCCCTTCTTTGGTGTCAGATATTGTGTTCTTTTTTTTTTTACAGCTACAACTTCTTTGAAAAACCACCTTAAAAGCAAACATGCTGAGCAGTACACTACATTAATTGTTGCTCCCTTGGCAAGTGACAGCAAAAATGATGGTACTCTTGCTTCTACCGATTTCAAGATACTGGCAGTACCAGGTATGTCAGAAAAGAAACAGTTAACTCTGAAGGAAACAACTAAAAAGAAATTATTATGGGATATTAATGATCCAAAATCAATAAAATATCATTATTTAATCAGTGAAATGATTGCCTTAGACAATGAACCATTATCACTTGTTGAACGAGTCGGCTTTAAAAGGCTTATGGAAAAGGTAGTATCTCAATACAAAAAAAATACCTGGTCGCACTTACATAACCAAGAAAATTATTCCTGATATATATAATAGAATTTGCTCTAAAATTGAAGCTAGTATTTCGCAAGCAACAGCAGTATCAGTGACATCTGATATGTGGACATGTCAGCACAATAACCAGAGTTTCTTGAGTTTCACTGCGCATTGAATATCTCCAGAGTTTACTCTTGAACAAGGTGTTTTAGTGATGAAGCCATTTGCTGGCTCACATACTGGTACCAATATCACAAAAGAACTCAATGTTATTGCAGAAAGATGGAATATTCCTCATAGCAAGATACACTTGTCCATGACAGTGGAGCCAATATGATAAAAGGTGTATGAGACACAGAATATAATTCTGCCAATTGTTTTATTCATTCACTGCAATGAGCTGTTGAGGAATTGCTAAAGTCTCAAACGGAAATAAAACAGATGGTAGTTGCTGCAAGACAAATTGTTACCCATTTTAACCACTCTGGTATAGCACAAGGAAAGCTGAAATGCATTTGCCAAGAACTTAACTTGCCAAACCACCAACTAGTACAAGATGTAAGCACATGCTGGAATTCTGCATATTATTTAATGGAACGATTATTATAACAAAAGCAAGCTGTTTCTTTGTACAAGAGTCTTTAAATAATTTAACATCTTCTCAGTGGGAGCTAATGGAACAATGTATCAAACTCCTCAAACCATTCGAAAAGATTACAAAAATAACCAGCTCAGGTATTTCCTGCATCTCTGATGTGATTCCAAATGTTGTCACATTGTTGAAATACCTGGGGAAGGAAGAGACTGCAGATAGAACACCAAATTTATTGAGAATGAGATCTTCACTACAAATTGAGCATGAAACACGGTTCAACTTTGATGAGAATGACAAATATCTGGTTACCACTTTTCTTGACCTGCGTTTCAAAACCAGTTTCCTGGGATTAGTTCAAACGCAAAGAGCAAAACAAAAAATTCTTTTAGAAGCTCTGAAAATTAGTTATGATGAGTNTGGCAAGTGACAGCGAAAATGATGGTACTCTTGCTTCTACCGATTCCAAGATACTGGCAGTACCAGATATGTCAGAAAAAAAAACAGTTAACTCTGAAGGAAACAACTAAAAAGAAATTATTATGGGATATTAATGATCCGAAATCAATAAAATATCATTATTTAATCGGTGAAATGATTGCCTTAGACAACGAACCATTATCACTTGTTGAATGAGTCGGCTTTAAAAGGCTTATAGAAAAGGTAGTACCCCAATACAAAAAAATACCTGGTTGCACTTACATAACCAAGAAAATTATTCCTGATATATATAATAGAATTTGCTCTAAAATTGAAGCTAGTATTTTGCGAGCAACAGCAGTATCAGTGACATCTGATATGTCGACATGTCAGCACAATAACCAGAGTTTCTTGAATTTCACTGCGCATTGAATATCTCCAAAGTTTACTCTTGAACAAGGTGTTTTAGTGATGAAGCCATTTGCTGGCTCACATACTGGTACCAATATTGCAAAAGAACTCAATGCTATTGCAGAAAGATGGAATATTCCTCATAGCAAGATTCACTTGTCCATGACAGTGGAGCCAATATGATAAAAGGTGTATGAGACTGCCAATTGTTTTATTCATTTACTGCAATGAGCTGTTGAGGAATTGCTAAAGTCTCAAACGGAAATAAAACAGATGGTAGTTGCTGCAAGACAAATTGTTACCCATTTTAACCACTCTGGTATAGCACAAGAAAAGCTGAAATGCATTCGCCAAGAACTTAACTTGCCAAACCACCAACTAGTACAAGATATAAGCACATGCTGGAATTCTACATATTATTTAATGGAACGATTATTATAACAAAAGCAAGCTGTTTCTTTGTACAAGAGTCTTTAAATAATTTAACATCTTCTCAGTGGGGGCTAATGGAACAATGTATCAAACTCCTCAAACCATTTGAAAATATTACGAAAATAACCAGCTCAGGTATTTCCTGCATCTCTGAAGTGATTCCACATGTTGTCACATTGTTGAAATACCTGGGGAAGGAAGAGACTGCAGATAGAACACCAAATTTATTGAGAATGAGATCTTCACTACAAATTGAGCATGAAACACGGTTCAACTTTGATGAGAATGACAAATATCTGGTTACCACTTTTCTTGACCTGCGTTTCAAAACCAGTTTCCTGGGATTAGTTCAAACGCAAAGAGCAAAACAAAAAATTCTTTTAGAAGCTCTGAAAATTAGTTGTGATGAGTTTACTAGTAACGATGATGATTCTTCTCCACTTTGCAAGAAAAGAAATATCAATGAAAATGATAAAACAACTGAAATACACGACAGTTTCTGGAACTGTTTTGAGGAAGTCGCTACAGAAAATATGCAAAATGATGAGAATGTGGAGAAGAAAAGTGCTATTGCAAATGAGATTGGTTTTTATATGAAAACTGTTCACCTAGATCAGACGGCAGACCTTTACAAGTAGTGGTCAGCAAATGCAAAACTGTATTCAAGCCTGACAGAATTCACTAAGATTTGTCTATTGTTCCCTGGCAGTAGTGTATAGTGAGAAGCTATTTTCAGAAGCAACTATAGTTTATGAGGAAAAGCGCAATCGTTTGTTATCAACAAATGCTGAAAAAATTGTTTTCATTTATCACAACTTACCACTGATAGATTTTAAGTATTAAATGTAATAATTTGTGATTAAAATAAATACGTTTTTGAGTAATATGTGCATTTTTTTTTTCATGATTTGGTATTCGGTATTTGGCCGAATACCGAATATTAAAAAAAGTAGCCGAATAGGCCGAATACCGAATAGTAGCCGAATATTCGTGGCATCTCTAGTAAAAATACTCCTATAATTCGGTAAAACGTCATCGGGCAGCCGAACTACTTTCCGCCGTCCAGTGCCACGCTACAGAGAGTTTAGGCGGGTAAATTGAGTTTACTATCGTCTGTACAGTATTATATATAAATTAGGTACCGAATCTACGGTGGAA